CCCCCGCACAGCCCGCCGCGCCGCCGAGGCCGGGCGCGCACCATGCCGCGGGCGCCCGCGCCCCTCTATGCCTGCCTGCTTGGGTTGTGCGCGCTCGTGCCGCGCGTCCCAGGTAAGTCGCGCTCCGAAACTTTTGCGGCGCGCACGGCCGCTGGCAGGTCCGGAAAGAGGGCGCCTGCGCTCCCAAGTGGGCCGCCGCCGTGGAGCAGCGCTTCCGAGCTGCGTGTCCCGTCTCGTGCCCGCGGCCGCCCGCCTGCCTCTGTCCCCGGCCCCCTTCCGGGCCGAGGAGTAGCTCTCCCTGTGTAAACAGCCAGCCGTCGGCTGACCCACCCCGCCGGGGACGCGCGAACTGCCTCCGCCTGCCCCGCACTGGGGCCCCCGCTCTGCAGTCACCCGCACAAAGCCGCCCTTGTGGTCCGCCGGGTACGGGCGGGGAGGCGCGCAGTGATGGGGAGGGCAGCGGGAGCCAAAGTGTGTGTCGCCCGGGCCGCTCTGGAATCCTGGCTCCTAATCCTAAAGTTGCTCCACGCCTGGGCCAAGTTTAAAGTAGTTGCATCTCCGCGCTCTCGGAGCCACTGGCAAGCCCAAGGGAGACCGCGTCCCGCGCGAAGGCCCCACCTTGGGACTCCAGGATCTGATCCTTCTGTCTGCCCCTGTGTGGCGGTGCTTAAACCCTGGGAGGGGCAGTGCCCTAAGTGGAGCGTGTGGGGCAGAGGGCAGGGCTGCGGGCACTACCATAGCCGCGGACCGCGGGCGGCTGGCGCGGTGGAGGAGGTGTTCCCCCCCAGACCCCTTACCTGAGTAAAGTTTTCAGAGTTGGGAGTGGCAGTTAAGAAACCCCTGGGGAAGGATGTTGTTCGGCCATGGGCTGTTAGGGAGAAGAGCTGCCTTACCTCTCGCTCCTCCTTACCATCCAACCAAAAGCTGGAATCTCCAGACTTTCTCCTTTCTCTAGGAAGTCGTTGTGTGTTAAGAGTGTGCTATTCACTTTCAAGCCCGAGGTACTTGCTTGTCTTTCTGAGCCAAGTGGTTGCCTGGCTGCTAACTGTTCCCCTTCCGCGGCTCTTTTACGTGAAGGCGGAGGTTGAGGTTTCTTTCCATCCTTAAATGAGGAGGGGGCTGCGGAAACAAAAGCGTCCTTCAGGCCCCAATTCAAACGTTATACTATAGCAGGTTGCTTTTATGGGAAAAGAAGTAGATCGGTGGGTTCTAAAAACTCCCTCCACCGTCTAGCAATAAGTGCCCAACTTTAGTTTTCCCCAGGAAAACACAGAGATGTAGCTTGGATCTCCACTAGACTATGTTCTTGTCAACTGACTTTTAGAACAGTTTTTTTAGTTTGAAGTTATTATGCTTTTTAAAAAATACTTTATTTTTATTGTGTGTGTATGAGTGTATTGCCCACATGTAAGTGTGCCCGTGCCATGCAATACCTGTAGAGGACAGAAGAGGGCATCGGATCCCCCGGAGCTGGAGTTACATGGACGATTGTTAGCCACCTGGTGGGTGCTGGGAATCGAACCCGGGACTTCTGCAAGAGCTCAGCTGGTGCTCTTAACCGCTGAACCATTGGTCCCATATGCTTTTTAAGTTGTTTTTGTTTTTGTTTTTTTCTGAGACAGAGTCTTCCTGTAGCTCCAGCTGACCTAGAGCTCAATATGTTAGAACAGGCTGGCCTTGATCTCACAGATGTCAGCCTGCCTCTGCCTCCCAGAATGCTGGGATGAAAAGTATGTGCCATCACACCTGGCTTGTGCACTACACTGATCTTCAATTAGTGTTGGGCCCTAGAGGGCCAAAGGACTTTCCCTCCTGTATGCCTCAGAGTGGATGTGGAGAGCCAGGGCCCTTAGGGCTGTTTGGGTTTGTGTGCCTTATCCTGCCTTAGGTAGAGAAAAAGCCTTGGGCCTGTTGGTTTTATTTCCAGGGCCTTCAGGATTAGTTTTGTCCACTGCCCATCTCTGTGACTCAGGCTTGTCTTCTGCCATTTGAGTTTTGCCAGGGATGAGCAGAACAGGCCTTTCACTGGCCTCCAGACTTGGCCACCTCCTTCTTAGTGTCCTGGCACTTTACAAGATCAGAAGGGGCTGATTTAGTAGAGTGATTTGACTTAGCTTCTCAGTGTTGCTTACCTTTCTCCGCCCCCTCCATCCCCTCTCTCACACACTTTTTTTTTTTTTCATTGAAAGATGGCAGGAACTTTCTCTGGAGTTTGTTTCTGTCTTGCTAACAGGGATACAATTTGAAAGAAAAGTCTGAGTTACCTTGGGAAAGATATGGTGCTATGAAGGATGATGCCTGCATGGCTGTTCTAGATCAGTGGGCGAACCCAGCAGGCAACAGACCTTAAATTTAAGGGGGTCACTTTAAAGAAGGCTTTGCTGGGGTGCCTCCCTATCCCCCAGGAGTATCTCCTCAATTATTCTGGGATCAAGAGCCTCTAGGTCAGGCATTAACACATAGTCTTTCCACAAAAATAGGTAAGGGTTTGCGCTGGGGAGGCCTTCTATGCCCACTTCCAGTCTAACACAGAGGGTGGAGCCTGGCCTCACTCCTGAAAGACTAGTCTTGTTTGCTATCATAGTTTATTATTTTAAAAGCAATCAAATGGCCTTTTAGTGAATGCCCTGCCAATTAGGATGTTCTGAATACTAAGAGCCCTCCGTTTTATTTAGAGGACACAAGTTGGCAGCTTTCTTTTCTTTATCCTCTCCCAGCCCACCATGGCTGTGGGTGACATACAAAGGGGTCGCTTGAATTTGGCTGGGTGTGCAGCTTCCTTCAGGTAACCAGACCTAGGACATTGAAATGCAAAGAGTAGTCTGCAACTCTTTGTTTACCCTCTGGATTTACATCTTAACTCCATAGTCCTTGAGTCAGGGGGGGCTTTTCATAAAGGGGATTGAGGCAGAAGAGGGCAGGGCCTAATTAGTTCTAATTAGTATTCCTCTCCTGCTTGTTCTCCATGCTTATTTAGCTACTGAGGCAACGTAGAATTAAAATATCTAAGTAGTTTGGCAAAAGGCCCTTTGTGCCTGCTTGCCCTGGTAACAACTTTTTCTTCTTTAGCCTAGTAGTGGAAATATTCAGAGATGTTTTAACAAGATCAGTAATGTGGGGTAATTAACGCAGTGCATAAATGATAGGGTGTCTTTTAAATGGCTGTGTGCCCTTGGGGTGATGGGCTGGGGTCTCTTCACAGGTATTTTCCATTGGCTGGGTGAGAGCCTTGGAAAGCCCAAGGTGGCTGTAGTTTGTTTTCCTTTTCTCTAGTTGGAATGGGATTAGTTGGTTTATAAAAGGCTCACTTTATTCCTAGATACCCATTTGTTGGTGAGGCTTCTTTTTGATTCTATCAGATGCAGGTTTTGGTCCACGGGGTAAGGTGTCTGCTCTAGCACTGGCTGACTCATCCCTGTGGCTAATACTGCAGTGTGGGGCCCTCCTTTCTGGACCCCCTCTGCAGCCTCTGCTGGAGCTGTTTGGATGTGCTGCTTGTCTCTGGGACCTTCATCTGCAACTGACTCCTTTAGTCACAGCCATCATTCAGAGTGATCCTGTTAAAACTCGTCAGATCATGTTGCTGGTACTTAAAACTCTTCAGTGGCCTCCAAGAGTTGCGATGGCGTTCCCACAGACTCCAGCTCCTTTTTTGAGTTCTTTCACCACTTTGTTCTCACAAAACTTACCCCATCCTGCTAGCCATGTTCTTACCATAGGCCCTTCCTCTTGCCTGGAATATTTTCCAGGTCTTTCTGGCTATGTCCTCTCTACCCCACAAGCCTCTTTTTGGTGTCTCCTCAGTCCAGTGTCCCCAGCCGCTGTCATCCAAAAGGTGTCATCTCCTCCCTCACATTCCCCAGATCTCCTTTCCTTCCTCAGTTTCCCTTCCTGGCACTCACCCCATCTAATGATCTTTTGTTCCTTCTCCATTCCCCTCCATCACCCTTCCCCCTCCTATACATAGCTTTGAAGTCTTATTGGGTAGAAGCATTCTGGGAGAGGGCACTAGAAGGTGTCAATATTCACTGAGCTGGAATCTATGATAGAGACCATTTGCTTCATCCCCTGAACTGTGTACTTGAGGAAGCTGAGGTGACGTATCCAATGTCATCAATGTTTGGTATTTGGTTAGCCCTTCTCTCCCATGATTTTAAAGACCTTACAAAAAAAAAAGACAAAAAAAAAAAAAACAACTCTATAAACATTTACAAGTTTTAGATTCTCAGAAAAAATGGAGAATGTAATAGAGTTCTCATGTACCCCACACCCAGTTCCCCTGCTACCAACATCTTACGTTACTGTGGTGTATTTGTTACAATGCATGACCATATTGACAGATTGTCATTAACCAAGGTCCACACTGTTCGGGCTTCCTTAGTTTTAATTGTTCTGTTCTTGGATCCCATCTAGAATATCAGGCTGTCATGCCCTCCCTCTTGGTTGTGATGGTTTTCCGTCCGTCTTTGTTTTTGTTGACTTTGACAGCTTTGAGGAGTGCTGCTCGGTTATTTTATAGGTAACTGTCCCTGTCAGCATTTGGCTGATGTGTTTTCTCTTGATTAGGTGGAGTTTAGATTTTTAGAAGATTCAAGAGCTAATCACTTGCCTCTTTTTTTCTTTTTGAGACAGGGTCTCATCTATCCCTGGCTGACCTCAAACTCTCTGTGCCTGAGGGTGACTCTAAACTCAGCTCTGCCTCCACTTCCTGAGTGCTAGGATTACAGGTGTGAACTACAGTGTTCCATTTATGCAGTGTTCCGTATTAAACCCTGGGCCTCTTGAATACTAGGCAAGCACTGTACCAACTGAGCTGTATACCCAGCCCTCAATTGCTTTTTTAAAATAAATTTTTGATCTTTTAAAATCTGTATGTGTGTATGTGTGTTGTATGTGTGTGTGTATGTGTGTGTGTGTGTGTGCATGCGTGTTGTATGCATATGTGTTCATGTGGGAGGGGAGGGGTATTGCAAATGTCAGTGAGTGTATACATAGAGGCCAGAGGAGGACATTGGGTATCTTCTTTTACTGCTTTCCATCTAATCCCTTGAGACAGGGCTTCTCACTGAACTTCAAGTTCACTGTCTTGGCTAGGCTGGCTGGCCATCTGCC